AAAAAAGAAAGAAAATACGTTTAACCTGTTTCACAGAATTTCAGACTATTTACATGCCTTTATAACACTGTAGAACTCTTTGGTGGTGACATACGGTTTAAGATCCCTGAAAATACTTAAGGAATTCTGTTCCATCCATCAGTGTAGTAAAGTGTTTATTATTAACAATGGTGGCAGGATGACCTTTTTAGCCCTAAAAACCATACAGTGATGTGTATGGAGGGGATCTGTGGTAGGACCGAGGTGGGGCTACATAATTACTTACTCAGCAATCAGCTACTATTGACTAGATCAGTTCTTATTTCCTAAACAAAGTTGGGAACTAGCTGTTCGTGATCAAGCTGAACGACTGCAGAGTGAAATACTGCTAGGCTACTACTTCTGGATAAATGCCAATAGCTATAAAAACAGTGCCCTAAACAGGTTTGCACATGGCATGCCCATGCCCCAAATGGAGTGGGGGAAAGTCAAGGCACTGTGGTCTATAGATAAATTTACATTTTTTTCAATATTTTATTTATTTTCATTTTATGTGTATGAGTGTATTGCCTGCATGTGTGTAAGTGCACCTGTGTCGTGCAATGCCCTCAGAAGTCAGAAGAAGGTGTAAGATTCCCCCGGAACTGGAGTTACAGATGGTTGTTAGCCACCATGTGGGTGCTGGGAATCGAACCTGGGTCCTCTGCAAGAGCAGTCAGTGCTCTTAACCAGTAAGCCATCTCCCCAGCCCCAGATTTACATTTCTTAAAATCAGCAGACTTAAAATCAGAGGAACAGCAGGTGTGGTGGCATACGCCTTTGATCCTAACACGTATGAGGCAGAGGCAGGCTCTGTGAGATCTCTGTGAGAATGAGGCCAGCCTGGTCTATATAGTGACAGGAAGACCTGTCAAAAAAGCAAGCAAGCAAATAAATGGCCAGCTCCACCATAGAAGAAACAGATGCTTCAGCTCTGAAGAGACAATTCAGAGACAAGGGGGACAGAACCAAGGAGGAGGAAATGTAAAACAGGAGAAAGTAGGGGCAGGACAAGATGGCCTCAAGTGTGGATAAGCATGTCAGTCGCAGAGATGTACCAGAGGAAGGCTGGGATGGTGAAGAGCACAGCTCAGAGGAGCAGCACACATTAGCCCTCTGAGGCCGGTGGTGTCTTTGATTGGGCGTTTTAATGCCACAAGGCAAATGATTCTCCCAACTTGAAACAGCTCGAAAAGCACAGCACGGTGGCATGTTCCTGTAATCCCAGCACTGAGGCGGCTGAAGCATGAGGCGCATCCATGAGTCTGAGGCTAGCCTGGGCTATATACAGAGTGAGTTTCAGGATGGCCTGAGCTAGACAAAACAACCAAAATACCGCAGGTAAAAACATACTGCATGTGAACTTATCAAAGGATAGGTGGGCTGGTTTTGACTGTTTGGTTCTGGGACCGAACTCAAGGCTTTGCATATGCTAAGCATGGCATCTATTGCTAGCTCCAAAGGACAGGTTTAAGACTGGACTTAAAAAGATAAAATGGTGCCCAGTGTGGTGGTGCAGGCCTTTGATCCCAGCACCTGGGAGGCAGAGGCAGGCAGATCTCTATGAGGTCCAGGCCAGCCTGGTCTACACAGTGAGTTCCAGGCCAGCTGGGGTTACAGAGAGACCCTGTCTCAAAAAGATAAAATGGTAGCCTTTAATCCCAGCACTTGGGAGACAGAGGCAGGCAGATGTCTGTGAGTTCCAGGCCAGCCTGGTCTATGTAGCAAGTTCCAGGACAGCTGGGACTACAGGGAGACCCTGTTGCAAAAAGATCAAAAAGAAAAAAAAAAAAAGATAAAATGGTGGTGCCAATCAGTCCCCACAGTGACGGAGTCACTTGCTTATGGAGTTCCCTTATCAGGTGACACTGCCTCTGCCCAGAGAGAACAAGTATGCAGTACAGCATCTGTATAGCATCTGTACAGCACAGTGCCAGGCAAAATAAACAGCATTCTTTCTTAAGAGCTTATGATATGAATTCATAGAAATTCTGAACAGAATATTGTTTCAGGTCAGTGCTTGGAGGAGTACCTAAATGTACATCACCAGATGCCTTTGTTTTAAAAAGTAGAAAAGCCAAAGATCTCACAAATCTCACAATCTGTTCTCTTTTGGGTACTAAATCCAATGGTTATGTTTTATGAACAAGCATAATAAATACAACTTTGATTATTCGTCACCAAAATACACTGTTGGGGTTCACAATACAATTAACAGTGCTACCAAATTAAAAAAAAAAAAAGCCTCAGAGTGCGGTACCTTTAACTTTCTGAGATTAAAAGGTAAGGGCTGGGGAGGAGCACCTGGGCAGCATGCTTGCGTAGCATGCTGAGCCCTGGGTGCAATCCCCTGCACCATCCAAAAACAAAAACACAATTTCTTCTCTGGTGGCCAGTGATATACAGCATTAAAGGCGTCTGCATTTGGTCTTGGCCCTCATTTTCAAAGAATAACCTCAGCCAGAGAAAGATTCAGTTGCTTCTAGCAACACCTAGTCTATTAGGCAGCAGCACACACCCACCTCTGCGAGGCCTGGGAATGGGATGGCTTAGGACAGGTTCACGCATCAGAAGACTCAATGCTACGTTGCTCCGTAACTCTTTACAAAAGCTACCATTTTTGTTTGCTTGCTTTTTGGTTTTTTGAGATAGGGTCTCGCTATGTAGCCTTGGCTGGCCTGGAATTCAGGGATCTGTCTGCCTCTGCCTCCTGCGTATTGGGACTAAAGGCGTGCATGGCCAGGCCTCCTGAAGCTACCACTTTTTTTTAAAGCGAAAAAAAAATTAATTGGTATTGATAAAAACATGCCAAAGTCAACCATGGAAACCAATTAATGTTTAACTTCTCTATGTCAAGAAGGTAATTAAAAACAGTAAAAATAGTGAAAATGTCTGGTGCCGCATACCTGTCACCCCAGCAACTGGGGGTGGAGACAGCAGAGCCAGTCTGAGGCCAGCCAAGGCCAGCCCGAAGCCAGCTGAGGCCAAAGGAGACCCTGTCTCAAGTAAACAAAAACCCAAACAAAAACGTTAAAATCGAACAGTTAGCTGTGTTTATATTACAGACCCAATGAATTTAACAAACGAAACCCCCCTGGAAGGGAAAGGGATGATGTGTTTCAAGGCATAATTCTGACACATTATAATATGACCCAGAACAAAAAAGAGAGCATCAGTAAAATTTAAAGTAAATGAACAGTTGTGACGTAAGTAAACAATTTCAAGTGTGAAAACTAGTTAGGAAAGTGCTATGTGGACCCCTGGTCTTCAATGTTCTGCTTCAAAAACTTTCAGTTGACAGTGGAAAGCCTCAAGTGTTACAAAGGTAAAAATCTGTGGGGTGTGGCGGCACACACCTTTACTCTCACACTCGGGAGGCAGAGGCAGGTGGATCTCTGTGAGATTGAGGTCAGCCTGGTCCATAGAGTGAGTTCCAGGCCAGCTGGGGCTTCAGGGAGACTGGTTCAACCCTCCCCAACATAAAGGTAAAAATCATCTAAGGCATATATGAAGGGTTCTTTATCATAACACAGCATGTCCTTGTCCCGCCATGGAGGAGAGACTGTTTAATCACTATCCTTGTGTGGTGGATATGATGCAGACGGAGGTAAACACAGTCAACACAAGAATGGCTTAAGTATCCTGAAACAGGGAGATGTTTCAAGTATGCTCCGGGTCTGTGTTTCGTTTTTGAGCCCAGGTCCTCGATGCTGCTGATGAACTTTAAATTGGAAAACACGATTGTCTGTGACTTTTGCTATGTACACATCAATAAACTTTGCATAACTGCCTCTTATAGTTAATATTTAAGTAAACTGTTAAAGGAACACTAGTTAAATTCATGAACGTCAATCCTATAATTGCCACAATCTGAATAAAAGTGTAAATCCTGAATACGTGTAGTTAGAAAATGAAGTTGATTTGTTAGCATTATTTCTCTTGGGATTTCTGAGGTGTGGATTCTAAAAATACACCTGTGGTCTCTTCTTCACTTTATATTTTAGTGAACCATACCGCACCTAAAGAAAGAAAAGTATTATCATCATTAACAAATAGACAACCAAAACTAAGTACAAAATGCCATAGGAAAAGCCTGTTACAGTGTATGCTGATTAAAAAGCAAAATTAAATTAAGAAAGTAGATTGAGTACTTTATAAGATTTTATTTTATTTTATTTTGAGGCAGGGTCTCCCTGTAGCCCCAGCTGACCTGGAAGTTGCTATGTAGACCAGGCTGGCTTCAACCTCACAGAAGCCCATGCGGCACCATAACTGCCTTATTTTTAACTTTTAGTTATGTGTATGTGTGTGTCTGTGTGTATATTTGTGCATGTGAGTACAGTGTCCATAGGGCCTGGGAGAGGGCATCAGATTCCCCGGAACCAGAGATACAGATTCACGGGTATGAGCTTCCAGGTCCTCCACAAGAGCAGTGAGTGCTCTTAATCACTGAGCCATCTCTCCAGCCAGCTAGGCTGGTGGCATACGCCTTTAATCCCAGCACTCTGTCTGGAGGCAGAGGCAGGCGGATCTCTGTGAGTTCAAGGACAGCCTGGTCTATAGAGTGAGTTCCGGACCAGCTGGGGCTACAGGGAGACCCTGTCTCTAAAAGACCCCCCCAAAAATTGATAGGATTGAATAGTTCATAACCATATTAACTGTTTAACCTTCCTGACACAAAGAATTAACTAATCTTGCAAGGCCTGGTACAGGCTTGTCCAGCCCAGCTCTTTAGGAGGCAGAGACAGAAAAGACCACAAATTTAAAACCTGCCTGGGCTACAAAGTGAGTTCAAGTCCCACCTGGGTAAGTTAATGAGACCTTGTCTCAAAATAAAGAGTGAAGATGTGGTTTGGGGTGTAGCTTGGTGGTACAGTGCTTACATGCGTGATACCCTGGGTTTAATTGCCAGGAGAGACAGACAGACACACAGACACATAGACACGCACACACACACACACACACAAATAAAAACCAGTGAATCCAACTATCTTGCAAGTGTGTATAAAGAGCATCACTCATATACCCCTAGAAACGCAGCTGGTGCTATGACGGATGTATCACTGTATGTTACTATGATGGATGCATGTGGCACTGTATGTTACTATGACGGTTGCATGCAGCACAGTATTTTACTAATCACAAATAAAAACACAAACAATTAGTCAGAGAAGACTAATCTATTTTCTCAGCTCAAAGACATTATCTTTTGGGTAAACTTTTCTTTTACTATTTAATCGTAGTGTGGTTGGTTATATACGAGCAAAGTACGTAGCTAATCCTGCTAGTAGCTCTCCCTGCTTATACACAGGGTGGCAATGGCATTCGAAGTAACTGTGGGGTTTGTTAGGTAGGAATGCTATTTTCTACTCATAGGGGAAGACCAGGAATTTGACATTTCAAAATTTCCAGATTTGTTTTTTTCTCTAGGGATCCCTAATACATCTGACTTTTTTCCCTTTTAGACAGGGTCTCACTAGGTAGCCCTGGCTAACACAACTGATTTTAATAAAGTTTTAAATAGAATGGCTGCTTCCCATTCCCATCTTCACTCACTGGTTGTCCAAAACCCCTAATGATAACACAGTGGGAAATCCCTGATAGAAATCTCAGGAAACAACTGTGCTCCACACCCACCTCCTTACGGCCTTTGACAGTCTTCACGGACTTCATGCTCTGGGATCTGCGGAGTCCCTTATGAGTTACCATCTCGTCATCAGAATATGGCCCTTCTGCTTCTTCATCTGTCTTTTCACCTCCGTCTCTCAGTGGAATTCCATAACCTAAAAGGTGAAAGACAGCATGTTTTGGTAAGAGGACACCCATTTTTTCGGGCTCTTCACAGCCTGGGGTGAGGTTCTCTGCAGTGCTCCCCACATCTGGAAGGTGCTCCTGGCCCTTCTTCATGAACTTTGCTTCCTGCACTGTCCTAGATGATCAGAAACCCATTTCCTCTGTGCAGGTCTCTCTGAGCAGTGACACTCATTTACTTAATGCTTTTGGAGATACTGTCTCACTCTGTAGCCCAGGCTGACCTAGAATTCACAGTGAGGGTGCCATGCCCAGCAGACCATTCTTAATTTTGTTATGGCTATTTTCAATTTAACAGTAATCGAGAGAGCTGGGGAGATGGCTCAGCGAGACATCAGGCCATGAGTTCGGATCCCAGCACTAGAGTAAAACCTGGGTGTGGTTTCATGGGCTCCTGTAACCCAAGTGCTGAGACAGGAGGATTGGTGGTTACCAGTCTAGTGAGAAAAAAAAAGTGCATTCCAGGTTCAGGAAGAGACCCTGAGTCAAAGGAATAAGGGTAGTGATAGAGGAGGGCATTTGCTGTCCTCCTCTGACTTCTGTGTCCACACACTACACACATATACCGCACACAGGCATACAATACATATACCACACACAGGCATGATGCAGTATAAGAACTCAGGAAGTAGAGGAAGAAGGCAGATGCTGAGTTTGAGGCTGGCCTGAACTAAAGAGCGAGACCGTGTCTCAAAATAACAAGAACAGAGCTGGGGAGATGGTGCAACCCGAATTAGATTCCTGGAACCATGTGAACAGGTGGACAGACAGGATGACTTCAAAGCTGCCTCTGACTTCCACGTGTGCACTGTGGCATGTGCCTGCTCCCCACGATGCACAGTCACAAACAATAATAATAAAAATTAAAAACCCCAACAACAAAAAAGACAAATAACAAAAACACCAAATCCCCTAAAACCCCCAAACAATAAGCTAGGTAAGTTGTGAAGTCTATGTTCGCCTTTTCATGAATTATTAAAAAACCCAAGCATTTGTGTTTTAGCATTTTTGCCTTTGACTTTAATTAGGACTTAAGCCCCTCCCCACTTGTCACATTTTCCCAAACACTGGGAAGGACAGGGGAACCAAGGAGACCTAGAGGGCCTACAAACAGACAAGCTAAGTTGGGTAGGGCCTTGCAGCCCTGAGATAAAATCTAGCCTGGCTAGCTTCAGTAACCAGAAACGCCACAGGCCACGATGACAGACGGCAGAGATGACAGCCAGTGCGAAGGTCAGCAAGGGACCTCGCTGGCCTGCCAACACGCTGCCACATAAGCCTATAAGGACTCACTACGACCACTGAGCAAACATCCAGGCAAACAGCTAGCTGGAGGTCTAGGAGCATCCCAAGCAGCCCTGGGGGAGGGCTCGCCCTATTTGGGAAGGGGAGGTTCTCAAACATTAGCATATCTCATCAGTACACAGATTGCCTGGGCCCCACCTGGAGCTTGTGAGTCAGCCAAGCTGGGGTTGGGCAGAGATGAGCATCTCAAATAAGCCCTGGGTGATAAATATCAAGCTCTGAGGCCTGAGGCTCCTGGAAACAGCAACAGAGGGGCTAGTCCAAGGCAGCCAAGGTACCCGGTAGGCTGTGAAGACAAGGGTACAGTCACAAGGCCCCACAAAGCTGCAAATTCCTTTTTATGATAAAGATAAAGAGGCTGTATGAGGATCTGGGGATTCAGGCGGAGGCAGGGATGAACTCTTTACATGCCAAGAAAATGACACTGAATAAATGTTTATTAGTCAGCTCTCCCAGGACATGAATAATTTGAGAGTCACAATGCAAACCATGAACAGTTGTTAATAAGCCTCTTAACTCTCATAATAACATAAACAACTTTAATTGTATATTAGGCAAGTACAATTTTATGGTGCCAGACTTCTACGCTAGAAATTAGGAAGGATTTGGAAGCAGGATCAGGCATCATCCATCAGCAGGATCAGGCTGACATTCTTTGTTTTCCTGCAGCAGTCAAAAGACATGTGTCCCGGGTTAAAGTGGAGGTCAGTGCAGAGGGCTGGGGCAACAGAGGGGCAAGGCTAACCAAGGAAATGCTCGGTGGCCAGGTGGCCAGATGAACGTGGGGCCACAGGAACGGGGCCATAGATCAGGGTGAGGGGAAGGCTTCCCGTGTAGGATGATGTAGGGGAAAAGTACATAAAGAAACAAAGGAAAAAACATTAAAATGAAGCCATCATCTCTCTCTCTTTCTCTCATTCTTTCTGTCCCTCTCTTTGGCTTTTTTGAGACAGGGTCTCCTGTAGCCCCAGCTTTCCTAGAACTCACTATGTAGACCAGGCTGGCCTCAATCTCACAGAGATCCACCTGCCTCTGCCTCCTGGGTGCTGTTTTAAAGGTGGGTGCTGAGAACTCTCTCTCTGTCTCTCTTTTTTTTTTTTTTAAATGATGTGCCAGGGGCATGTTAAGGGGACTTGTTTCATTTTATTAAAAGATTTATTTTATATGTGTCTGTGTATGAGTATGTACTTGTGAGCTCAGGTGCCCATGGTGACCAGAGGTATCAGAGTCCTAGAGCTGGAGTTGCAGATGTGGGTCTGGGAACCAAACTCAGGTCCTCTTCAAGAGAAGCATGCACTTGTAACCACTCACCCATCTCTCCAGGCCCTCTCTTAAATTAAAATAAAATTACATTTAGCTATTTATTATCTGGGGGGATAATAAAGCCACAGTGTGCTTATAGAGGTCAGAGGTCAGTTTTTAAGAGTTGGCTCTCTTTTCATCATGTGGGTTCTGGGAATGGAATTCAAGTGGTCAGGCTCGGTGGCATGCATCCTTATATGTTGAGCCACGTTACTAGCCCCAAAGCCATTATAGCTCATGAAAAGCAGGCTTTCAGGTAATTTTAATTTTTCCCTTTTTACTTGCCAAGTATTCAATTTTTCTTTTTTTTTTTTTTTTTCGAGTTCTTAATTTCTAAATTGTCTGTAGACCACATTTATATTTAAAATTATTTCAGAAAGAAAACTCTTTTTTCATGGCGAATCAAATTTTCAAAATTCAATGCAATTGTGCCTCCCAAGACTATAGGCGTGTACCACCACACCCGGCTTAATTTTTCCTTTTTTTTAAAAAAAATTTTATTTGTATTTTTTGCGTATGCATGTATTGCCTGCATGTAGACCCGGCTTAATTTTTCCTTTTTTTAAAAAAAAATTTTATTTGTATTTTTTGCGTATGCATGTATTGCCTGCATGTAGTAAGTGCACCCGTGTCGTGCAATGCCAGCGGAGGACAGAAGAGGCTGTCGGATCCCCTGGAACTGGAGTTACGGACAGTTGTTAGCTGCCATGTGGATGCTGGGATACGGACCTGGGTCTTCTGCAAGAACAGTCAGTGTTCCTAACCTCTGAGCCATCTCTCCAGCCCACTTAATTTTTCCTTTTTTCCTTGCTACATATTTGTTCAAAAATATAATTTTTCCATAAATACACCAGAAAAATATCTAGTTGTCGAGTCTATATAGTTTTCCTCTTTAGTGATTAATTTTCAAAATAAGAGTATTGTATTATTTCTGATTTTACAAGTTACCAGATTTTTTAAAAAGGAGGGGAGTTCTGGAGAGATGGCTCAATGGTTAAGAGCACTGGCTGCTTTTCCAAAGGATCCAAGTTCAGTTCCCAGGACCCACAATGTGGCTAACAACTGCTTGTAACTCCAGTTCCAGGGGATCTGACTCCCTCTTCAGGCCTCTGTGAACACCAGGCACACATATGTTCATACAAGCAAAATGCTCATACACATAAGTAAATCTAAGAAATTTCATTTAATTAAAAAGAAAAGTTTGGCCTGATGGCACATGTCTGTAACACCAGTACTCTAGAAGCAGGGGCAGGAGGATCAGGAGTTGAAGATCAGGAGACTGTGTTTCAAATAACCACACCACCACCACCAAACTAAAATCCCACCACAAAGAGCTAGACACTGTCAGTATTTTGGTAATCCCCTTCTGGATGGTCCTGTATGTATATACGGTTAATAAACAACAGTATATTAACTTTCATCACCTCTACGACATACTATTTTACTTTGTTTTTTTCCTCTCAGAATCTAACATTTTCATTGTTAATAAACTTTTTTTGGCTTAATAATTTCTTTAAGGCTTTTGGCTTTTTGTTATTTGTAATTTTTAAAAAAACATTTTTATTTATTATTTTTATTTTATGTGTGCGAGTGTATTACCTGCATGGATGTGAGTGCACCTGTGTCATGCAATGCTGCGGAGGTCCGAAGAGGGCTTCAGATTCCCCTGGAACTGGAGTTAAGAGCGGTTCGTAGCTGCCATGTGGGTGCTGGGAATCAAACCCGGGTCCTCTGTAAGAGCAATCAGTGCTCTTAACCGCTGAGCCATCTCTCCAGCCCCGTTATTTGTAATTATGAATGGAAGCCTTGTACATATGTCTCTGAATGTTATCTGATTATTTCCTTATGACATATTCTTAGAAGTTTCTTGCTGAGTTAAAAGGAATAAATATTGATGATCACTGCCAGATCATCATCCAAAAGAATTAGTTCATCTTAAACTGCCACGAAGTCCAAGAGGCTGTTCCATGAGATCTCTGATGTGTTTCCTCCCTGCCCTTTAATCTGGCAGGCCTTTGTAGCCACATCAACAGTTCATGACTGACAATCCAGCAAAGCTACACAGCAGGATTTCTTCCAGAGCCTTGTGGGACACTGGCCCTGGGATCTGCAGCTGCCATTTGAGCCTGACTACCCTCAGAGACCGCGAGACCACACGAAGAGGCCACAGAGACCACAGGCCACAGGCATATCTGAAAGGCCCCTTGCTCTAGACACCTGCTTGACTCTTCCCAGATCAAACACGTGTGAGCTTTCCTTTGCATGTGGCTCCAGCCCCAGCCTCAGCTGCTTTCCGATCACAGCTGCATGAAACTCTGAAACAAGGGCTAACATCAGTCACCCCTCCTTCTGAGCAAAAGGACTGTGATGGTTTTAAGCAACTGTTTTTTTGTTGTTGTTGTTGTTAAATACAGCAATAGATTGACATTCCTACTTAAGAACATTTTAGGGGGCCAGTCTGAATGGTAAAGAGTGCTATTATCACTACCCTAATCTGCCATTTCCTTGGGATTGAAAACCTTTCCATGTTTTTCTTGGTCAGCCAGACTTGATGGTTTAAAGGGTTCCTGAACCATTGGAAATTGGACCCCTTCCATACAAAGGAGGGAAAGGAGGGAGTCCTACCACAGGAGCACTTCTGATGACTTCAGCTTGTCGTTTCAGGTATGTTTTCCTCCCTCTATGGCAGTCTTACTTTTCTTGTTTTCTGTTTTGTTTTGAGACAGGGTCTCCTGTAGCCCAGGCCGGCCTCTAGCTTGCTATGTAGTAGAGGATCCTGCCTTACTTCTTGAATGCCGGATTACAGGAGTGTGCTACCAAGCCTGGTTTGTGCGATGCTGGGGACAGAATCCAGGGCCTTGTCCATGCTAAGCAAGCACTCTACCACTGAGCTATATCCCTGGCCCCAGATCTTCCTTATGAAGGAGTTACCTTAATCAGAGGTCAGCTTGGTCATATCCTGAGACAAAAGTCACCATTTTAAATGTTATTCATTCTTGGTAGTTGTGAAAAAATTCATTATTTTTGCTTAAAAAAGATTTTTTATTACTATAATCTTGGTCTTTTTTTGAAATAAGGTCTCACTATATAGCCCTGCATGGCCTGGAACTTGTGATGTAGACCAGGCTAGCCTTGAACTCACAGAGCTCTGCCTGAGTGCTGGGATTAAAAGCATGTGCCAGCATGTCCAGCCTATGTTTATTATTTTTAATTATGTGTGTGTGTCTGCATACATGAATGCAGGTGCCCAGAGGCTAAGAGCATTGAACTTACTGGAGCTGGAGTTATAGGGGGCTGTGGGTGTTGGAATCCAAACTGGGGGCCCCTGCAAGAGCAGTATGCCCTTGTAACTGCTGAGTCCCACTTCCAGCCCCAACTTTCGCTTTTTAAAGAGTGACTGTAGCCAAGTGTGGAAGCCAGCCAGGGGAAAGCTGAAGCAGACTCCCTTGAGTTCAAGGCCAGCCTGGGCTACAAATTCGAGAACCTGTCCAAAAACCAAAACAAACAGCAAAACAGGAGAGAAGAGGGGCTATTACTTAATTTTTCGAATTGGCCTTAATTATAAATGACAGCTTTCAGTCTCCACGTAAAGAATATCACTTTTTGAAATGATCGGTAGCCCCCGACCTTGCAGATAATAAGAATGAATAAAGACTGTCCTGAACTTCTTAGTTCTCAGCCTGGCCTTCGATGACAACTACCTTGGATGTGACACAAGGATGAAGGGACTCTGTTTTGTTTATGTGCATGCTTCCTAGATCACAATGGTTTATTAAAGATGCAAAACACAGCAACCGTGACATGCTCATAATTTCTGGAGAATATGCCTACAGGTCAGCTCTTGACCTAGAGTACGCACTTCTAGCACATTCCCATTGGAGTAATCCTGCTTTCAGTTTGAGTCACGTTTCATCACTGCCTCAATCTTTTTATCTGTGAGTCAATATACCTGCTTCTTCACAGATCTCACAATGTTCTTAAATATGAAACTCTGTAGATGTCAGTACATAGTTCGAATACAGAGTGTTGATGACCAGTCAGAACTGGTGTTGGGGAATGATCAGGGAACCACACCCACAGCTCCTAAAATATGAAGGTACTATGCTCTTAGTCAAATAATTTCCAAGGGCAGCAAAAGGTGATCACTAAAGGGGCTAGAGTTAAATCCAAAACTCCAAAACTCCAAAACATGCTTGGCTTAGGGGTGTAGCTCAGTTAGTGGAGTGCTTGCCTAGCATGCACAAAGCTCTGGGTTTAATCCCCAGCACCACATAAAAGAAGGTTGGTGCTCCACATCTGTAGCCTAACACTTGGCAGGTGGATCAGGAAGTTCAAGGGCAGCCTTGGCCAGCCTGGACTATGAGACTCCATCTCAAAAACAAATGAACACCCAAAATTCTACAAATAAAGACAAAATTATATGCTCAGAAGTAAGTTTTGCTGGGTGTGGTGGAATATACCTATAGTCTAGAACTTGAGAGGTATAAGCGAGAGGGTCAGTAGTCTGAAGACAGTCTCACCTACACAGTGAGTTTGAGGCCAGCATGGACTGTTTAAGGCCCTGTCTCAACAGCAGCTATAGCAACAACTACAAAGTGCATCTTGTCTCCGTTGCCATGTACTGTTTTAGTTCCCACCCTGACCCCCAGCCCTGTTATGAACAGCTCACACAGTAACACAGGCGAGCGCACCTGTGGGTTCACCAGCTTGCTTGCTTCTCTTCTTTGCTTCAGGTAAAGGCTGGTATGGTCTTTGTCCCACAGGCTCGTCACCTTGGATAGCCGTCAAATCGTGCATGCTGAAACTGCGTAAACGCTCCGTTATTGCTCCTTGGCTCTATTCAACAGAGAAGTGACAGGCTCGAGAAAAAGATACTTTCAAATACTTAACATGCTTCTGTTTATCACGTAAAAGGTCAAAACACTGTGAAGCACAGTAACACTTTGTTATGACAATATTGCCGCACATCTTATTGTGAAGCTTTTAGGAAAGCCAAAGACTTGCTCAGGAAGTACCATGCACTGTTTGTCTGGTTGCATTTACTTTATGACATGGCTACCATCGACCCACTCCAAATCCATTTCACTTTTTATGCATTTCAAAATAAGTCACAGACATTAATACATTTCACCCACCTAAACACATTTTAGCATTATACTGAACCTGAAAATGTAAAATAAAAATGTATGATGAGTTTAACCTCAGAGAAAATAGCATCCCTAATTCTGGGTCTTAGTTCAGTACTCAGAGTTAGTGATATCGAAACTAGACAGCTGGGACTTTATGTTTATGATTGGGGGGGTCTTCAAAGTAAGGACATGGTTTGATGCCACCCTAAGTCACGAACAGTACCACTGACCCAGAGCTGGCAGAGTTTTGGACACGTGGATGTTCAGATAATGACTCCATAACTTGGTGATTTACTATTATTTACTAAATCTACCATTTACTATTGTGTAATTTGATTTTAAGTTATTTTTGTCTTAATATGACAGACATAAGTGAATATTTAAATATAAATTGATTAAAATGAAATAAAATAAAAGCCTGGGTCCTTAATTGCATGAGCCACAGCTGAGCCGTTTGATAGCCATGTGGCTGTGGTAGACACAATCGTGGTCAGTGGAGATGAAGGGCATTCCTGCTGTGCACAATGTTCAAGGATTTCAGTGCTGCACAGTTTCGAGGGGGACATTTTTCTGAACTTTTAAGATTATGTTCCCCCCTCCAACCTATGAAGCTTTGTAAAAAAAGAGAAAAAAATATTTCTAAATTTACCCACTTTAAATCTGCATAGCATATAGGTGATTCACTTTTTATTTATAGCTGGAATAAAAATATTCATCAGAAGGATTTTTTAGACTTATTATTTCTTCTCACACGTGCGAATTCATGATTGCTTCTAGTTATGTTACCATAGAAACTCATTCATACCAGTTCATCTCTAAATTTCAAAGTCAAAGGTGTTACAAACATTTGGGTGTTTCTGCTAACTTGTATTTACCCTGAAGAAAGAGCTCTTAGATGCGGGTGTCTTGATTCCATACTCTGGTTACTGGTAACATACTGTGTCAAAACCAGATGCCATTTCCACTCGCCACATATGCTTTTTATTTTTATCATATTTTTTGAATTGTGGTAAAAATGGCTACAGTGCATTTCTCCACAAAAATAACTGGATCTCACATACTTAAAATTTATTCTTGGGCCAGTGAGTTGGTTCATGAGGACACTTCCTGTACAAGTTTGACAACCTGAGTTTGGTCCCCAGAATCATGTAAAAGTGAAAGGAGACGAGGGACTTCAGAAAGCTGTCCTCTGACTGCCACACGGGTGCTGTGGCACACATACATGCCACGCGTATCAGGTGCAACCCACAATAATAAACAAAGAGTTCCTCAGCAAGGCTTGGGTCCTCATACGGGCTTTCTCCACTCATTCATCACATCTAAGGGGACAAGATGCTTCCGAGACACAGGGCAAGGAGCAGTGTTGGAGAGACGCCTTGCTTCCTCACAACTGCCATTTTCTTTGCATCTCTTCTGTGTTTCTGTGAACGCTCTCAACAATTCTTGATTTTTTAAATTTTACCTGCTGCCCACCTCACACCCACACACAAATAGCATGCATTCCTGTGTATTATGGTTTGTGTCTTAAACATCCCCCACAGGTGCACGTCTCCAGCCTATGTGCTACTGGAAGGTCTAATGGAAGGAAACCAGGCCACCCATGCGCCCTTGAAGGTGACACTGGGTCCACCCTTCTCTTCCAGTGTCACAAAGTGAGCAGCTGCTCTCTTAACACATGTTGCCTTGCCACAGGTCCAAGCAACAGTATTCACCATGGACTGAAACCTCTAAAACTTCTGAGCCAAAATACCCTTTCCTTGAAAAGTTGAGCAAAAAACAATGCATGATGCCCCCTGCCTGACTCAGTGCAATTTCTAAGGCCGGCTTTAATGAATCAAGGTGACTGAGTCAGTCTAGATTCACAATGGCATTACAGGCTCTGGCGCCTTCAGTAAGCATAATCGACAACCATCTTGGCATTTATTTTACAAATAAACTAATGTGCTGTTGTTACTTTTATTGTTGTTTTATATGTATTTGCCTCCAGAGCAAGATTTTAAGAAACCAGGAGAGATGAACCTTAGGCTTCTTCCATTCCCTAATGCATCTGGTCTGGTCTGAGATTGAGCAAGTCATTAACATGTAAACTAAATATTCGTTTGATGCCTCCCCTCTTTCATTACTGTTGACTGCTAAGGAGTTCTCCATAGATGGCACTGTGTTTCAGTGTGAACAGGGGAGCTCTCACTCAAGAGGACACAACACGTGGCCACGTGCATCTCCACAGGCACTGCACCCACCCACGAGGCTTTGCTTCTGCTGTAGAGGAAGAGTGGGAAAGGGACTCCTAACACCTCAACAGCTCTATGACCCTGGAAAATTGCATTTCCCACTATATCTTTTTTTTTCTTAATGAGACCAAAACAGAGCTAAAAGATCAGAGTAAGACTGAGATACTATGAACTTGAAAATCACTAAATACATTGTGACTATCCAATGTAACCACTTCAAAGGTGAGGTGTAACTGTGAAATAGGTACACTGAAAGGCAAACCTGTTCTCTCTCGTCTTCATACCTTCAGCATAAAAAGCCCGTTAGTAGAGGAATTATGTTTGCCATAGGATGTGAAGTGGAAAGACTTCCCCTGCCCAGGATCCTAATCAGAACCTTAAAGAGGAGGCAAGCATTAGCACGTGGAAAGATGTGCAAAACGAAGACAGTGCAACGTTTGGGCAGATGGGGTGCTGAGTGTCTTTTCTTTCACTTGGTTCTTTAACATTACAAATTAGTCAGTTGGCTTAATCAAGTTTTTTTAAATTCTTTTAAAATTTGTTTTTAAAATTAGTGTACCAAGAAATGGTTTCATTATACATTTTCATACAACTTTGTCATTATCTGTCATCCCCCCCTTTAAAAGTTTCTGGGCATTTTTTTTTTTTCCCAATTTATTTTGTGTGTATGAGTGTTATGCCTGTATGTGTGTAAGGGCACCCATGTCATGCAGTACCCATGGAGGACAGAAGAGGGCGTCAGATCCCCTGGAACTGGTCTTGGATGGTTGTCAGCCACCATGTGGGTGCTGGGATTTGAACCTGGGTTAAGAACGGCCAGTACTCTTAACTGCT